AGATAAATTATAGGCGTGTGTTATATGGATTATTGTAGCATTTGAATTGTTAAGACATCCAAAATGATGGAAGTTAGAGCTGTTACAACATCCTTGATATGTGAAAAATGAGGGCTATTGCAGCATTTCTGGCAAGTAGAAAAAAAAAAAAGGTTGTTATGGTAGCTCAAAATAATAAATTGAACTTTTATGATAGTTTAAAAAATAAAGAATTAAAGTTGTTATGACAACTTTAATTTGTGAAAATTTAAGGTTGTTATAACAATCCTAACAAATGAGAGAAATTATATTATATAAGTATGAGAAATTGCATGTTTAATATTAATTATTAGTCTATGACAATTTAGGTATTAAATTGAAATTTGAAAATGTAACAGTTCTAAGTGAGGATTTAATATGATGGCATGAATATTAAATTGTGGATTATAATATTAACTTATGTTTGAAATATGTATGGATATTAATTGGATTTTTGAGATGCATAGAGATTTTAATGGTTAAATGTTAACTACTGGTATGAACTCTAATTTTTATTGTTTAGGAGCTGTAAGAGAAATGTCCGGAAGAAAACCTAGCTTCTCTCATAATATTTAAGGTAAGGGTTGCTCCCTTATCTTTTTTAATTATTTAACTTTCTCTCGTAGTGTTATAATATAAATGAAATAATATATATTGTGTACAAACTATTCATCATTAAAAAAAATACACCTATAGGGTAGAAAAATAATATGTAAAATTGTAATTGATCATGTTATAACCTAATTTTTTATTTTTTTTAGAAATAATACAAAAAATATCAAAATTCTAAAAAAAAAAAGTTTTCAACACGACTTGGCTAATTTCTAGTTGTTTAATAATTTTGATCATTTTGCTTATTGTTTTTGTATTGATAATTTTTTCAAAATATAAATCAATCAAATAAGAAAGAATTTTTTTTTAGTGAAAAAATAACAAGGATCAATTGATATAAAAAAAAAGTTCAAAAACACCTTTTCTCTTATTTCCTCATACACACCAACACCTCATATATACATATAAAACACTCTATCTCCTACA